TTACATTTAATGTATTAACGTTTGACCCACTAACAACTCTAACACAAAAGAAGTACAATGATCAATCAAGAATTATGGATACTAGACGCAGACCCATGCGATGCACAAATATTTTAAAATGTCACATATAACATTCATATTATTTAAAAATAAATAATTGAATGAAAATAAAAAAGTTTTAAATATCATAAAAGAAATTATATAGTTTTATATACTATTAGATAACTCTAAACATTCTGAAACACTTTTTTATAAATCATATTTTCAGTTATATTTTGAATCTTTACCTTCATCGTCAGCTATGAGAAAAAAATAATTGAGTCAGATACACTTTAACATATTTAAGTGATTGGCCTTAACTCTTGTTGATACAACACAAAAAGATATATTAAATCACAAAGAAAAGCAATCGATTTTTAATAAGTTTCAATAAAAAAAATATAAGATCAAGGATAAAAAAATATACCAACACTCCATAATTGACATTAAAGGACGTCAACGCTTTCGTAAAATTAAAAGTTAACACTTTTGGTACATGATAGCCAAAAAGGGCAGTGGAAAAATAAATAGTACATGATGAGTTAGATTCAAGAGGTTTTCTAATCAAGCGTTGTTTAATTGGAGGAATAGAGGTAGGATATTCAATTTCTTCATCAAACCTACTTATGACTATTATAGTTAAAAGGTATTTCTCTCTCTCTCTCTCTCTCTCTCTCTCTCTCTCTCTCTCTCTCTCTCTCTCTCTCTCTCTCTCTCTCTCTCTCTCTCTCTCTCTCTCTCTCTCTCTCTCTCTCTCTCTCTCTCTCTCTCTCTCTCTCTCTCTCTCTATATATATATATATATATATATATATATATATATATATATATATATATATATATATATATATATATATATATATATATATATATATATATATATATATATATATATATATATATATATATATATATATATATATATATATATATATATATATATGAAGGTAGCAAAACACCAAACTTTATGTCGAAAATATGTCTCAATTTGATTCAACCATCATTAAAATATAACTCTCTGTTTTTCTTTAGGACTTGTACCACAAACTCATTATCTTTTAGATCCTGAAGAGTCACATATGGTACAATCTCATCTCCAAATTCTTTAGCAAAGCATGAAGGAAGTTTTTGCATTATCTGTGTTTTATAAAATGCAATTAGTTAGCAAATAATAAAATTAAATAGATTAGCCAAACATTATGAGAAAAAAAATAAAATGCAAATAATTTTTATTTGCAAACATAATCGATTTATTGGAGAAAATGCAGGCATCACTTACACTATCGTTGTAAAACTCTATATGATATGTTTGCATTCTTACAAGCAAATTCGTTATCTAAGTGTTGTACTCATCGTCAATAAAATTTGCAACTTTCATATCGAAAAACTTTTCAATAATTTTCTGCTGGAGAAATTTTCTATCTTTTTCAAAAGGATTGTTTGAATCCATTGGATTTCTTCCAGTAGTTTATGTTTGTTAGGTGATGGAGAGGTAGTGGTAAGTATGTGGCAAAGTATTGATTTATATAAAAGAGAATTGCGAATCATTTATTGTCATGATATCTACAAAATCTATATAAGTACACTTACACACCTATATAACTTATCATGTAAGGCTACTTTAAGAAGCTATGCATGCAAGTCCTTACATGTGATTCTACATGCAAAAATTTATCTAATTGTTTGTATCACTAAAAAACATCGAATAATTTAGTGTGAAATTTTTAAAAAATATATTAATATAATTTTTTATATTAGTTGTTTTTTCATGTCAAAGTAGAAATAATTTAATGTCTTTATAATATACTAGCGTCCAGACGGGCACTCGCGTGTAGGGGTGTACGCGGGTTGGGTTGGACCGGGTTCGCCTTAACCCGTTACCCAACCCGTTCAACTTTTAATGGGTTGGGTTTATCATCAAACCCGTAATTCTACTTTAAAAACCGACCCGAATCAACCCGGATATTTACGGGTTGGGTAGGGTTGGGTCCACGGGTTGTGTATATAATAATTATTATTTTCAATTTAAAAAATCTATAACACAATTCAATATAATTTTGCATATTTCAAACAATTAAATTATTTACGTAGTGGAGACAAATCCTACATATAAAATAGAATAATTAAAAATATAACAATTAAAATTTTGAAATGTATTTTCTTTGTCATAAAAAATATATTTAAATTAATAATATGAAACAGAACAGGACTTTGCATCAAAATATATTTTCATCATATGAAACAAAATAGTACTTTGCATCATATGAAACAAAATAGTACATTACATTGAACCTATCATCATATTTTGCATTGATATAAAACTATTAAAGTACATACTGTAAAAACAATATATTGCATTGAAATAAATATATTGTAGAACTATAAAAAGTATAAAACCTTATTCAATATGGAGACGAAACTATGAGAGAGTCAAAGTATAGACTGTGGATTTTCGAAAGCAAGATGGAATTGGAATGTGAGAGAGTAAAATAAAAAAAAAATCGTGAGAGAATGAGGAGTGGTGACGTTTGAGATTTGCCGTAGTAAAAAAATAGGGTTAGGTTAAGTGGTATTGTCTTTAGTTTAGTAAGTTTCTAATATATACTTAATTATTATTAGTTAATAAAGATTCATTAAAAAAATAAAAAGGAAGTAAAGTGTAAACTAGAAGTGCATAAGTCAAGCAAGCATGATTAATATTAATAATAATGTTTAATTATAATAATAATTATAATTTAATGTGTGATTGGAAACTGGAAGGAAAGTGCAAAAGATCTTTGTGTACGTTACAATTTACAAAGTTATAGCAACTTTAAAATTTATAAATAATAATATAATAATAATAATAATTAATTATGTCACGTCAACGGGTTGGGTCAACGGGTTCATGGGTTTAGAAACTAAAACCCAATACCCGAACCAAATCTATACGGGTTGTTACGGGTTGGGTCGGGTATACCCGTAAATGAATGGGTCCGGGTAATTAGTGGGTTGGTTCGGTTTGGGTAGGCGGGTTTGCGGGTCGACCCGCACCCATGAACACCCCTACTCGCGTGCCCGTCTGTCCGCTTTTTTATTACACATATAAATATAAATGATATATTTTTATTTAATATTAATTTTACATGAAAGTTATGTGGGAGATTATTAGTAGGGAGTTATATGAAAGATGATAGTAGTAGTTCAATGGAAGTTATTGTGTAAGTTATATATTTTAAATTAAGAGTAAATTTGGTATAAAAAAAAGCTACACCAAAAACCAAGTATTGCCTTATATATGTTATAGATAATATATAAATTAATGTTTTTTACACAATAAAAAATAAAGTGTAAAAATAAAGTGTAAAAATAAAGTAAGGTTTTAATACATTTTCTTTGAAAATTTTATTGAGTTATTATTACTAAGTGTTTGGTGTAAACTTTTTTTAAAGAATATATTAATATAGTTTTTTATATTAGTTGATTTTTCATATCAAAATAGAATTAATGTATTGTCTAAAAGTGATAATATATATTTTTAAAACTAAAAGTTAAAGTGTAAAAATAAAGTAAGGTTTCAATACCTTTTCTTTAAAAAATTTATTGAGGTATTATTAATAAATATTTTAGTATAAATTGTTTTTTAAAGAACATATTAATATAATTTTTTTATAACGGTTATGTTTTTCTTTGAAAATTTATAAATAATTTTAAAAAATAAAGTGAAAATTTATTTAAATTATTTTATGTATATTAAGAATACTATTTAAATTAATAAATAAATATTATAACTAATTATAAACTTATTTATATAAATTTTTGGCTTATAAACATTTTTTTATAACAAAACTTAACAATTTAATTAAAAATAATATCAACGATATTAATGTAAAAACTTTTAATTTATAGATAAAAGTAATTATTTAAATTATTATGTGAGTTACTTTAAGAAGCTTACAAGCTCTTGCATGTGATTGTAGTGTTATCTACAAAATCTATATAATGTGTGCACGCACGTATGTTTGCAAGGAGAAAAAATAACTTTTTAAAATTTGTTATCGGACAATAAAAATTTATTCTATAATAAAGATTAAGTATATGTGATTAAGTCAGTGCTAGTGAGAAGATCATTGATCTAAGCCTTAGAAGCTCGACCTTAGCGCCTATATTTAGAATTTAGTCATGGAGATTATAGTAGTTGGCTATATTAATTTTTTAAATCAAATAGAAGCTTAAGTATACCTCTACCATTTTAATTTTAACTTTTTCTTATTGAAAGTAGGGACTGTCAAATCTCTAAAGAGTAATTTGTTATTTTAGAATATCTTAAAATTGTGGTTAAATCCAATTTAATGTTAATTTGTTAGAATATTTTAAAATTGTGGTTAAATCTAACACAATGTTATAAAACCAGCTTGTAAAATTCCTATTTATATAGAATATATAAAATCCATTTTATAATTCAATTAGGTAAGGTCGACAATGACATAGTCATCCATCTAGAATGAACCCATAATCACCACCTGTTTTGATTCTTAAACCGTTAGCTTCCCCAACAACATATTTTGACCAACACTATTATCGTGACTGACTTCAACCAAACTAAAGTATTTTTCGACATGTAAATATAATCTTGAAGAAAACCATTCATATGACCTCAACTGAGTCAAAGCTTCATAAGCCGTACATGCAAGTGAAACATCATTTGCATTTCACGAGCACGGACAATCAATGTGCAATGTTTACAGAAACACATGTGCCAAATAAGAGACAAAACTATACTCATTGATTTGGATCTTTATACTCATGAAAACTCTATGGGACCAAACAACCAACTCACTCCCACAACCTCAATTACAAAATTGACCAACTGTTAACTGCTATGCTAGCACATCATGGAAGTTAGACGGCCACTCATTGTTAGCTAATACATAACCTGACTTTCGCACAATAAACCACCACTCTTGGTTCAAAACAAAATTGCTATGCTTTGAAAAAACTCAACTGTTTTCGGTCAATGTTATCTAAGCGGATCAATATTGTTCCAGCCATTTCTCCTTCGACCCACTTTATAGACTCCTGCTCTAATAGTTTTAATACCTGTCCAAAATCAAAGATCACTCATCAGTAATTATGATTTTTAAATTAAAAATACCATTGGTGCATTCAAAACAAACATAAAACCGTAAAGTTAAGCTTCAAAATACCACTCAATCTTACCAGTCGTCTGCAAGACTTTTTTTTGTTAGCTTGGTCATTTGCATCAAAGATAACCTTAAGGTGGTCGAATGCTGATGAAGATACAGGATTGTTAAAATAACCATATAAAACTAACATGAGTAAATTTAACAAGGTTCGGTAGTTATAAACTTATTAGTAAATCAATATCATTACATGAGCAACCAGAAAGAGAAGAAAGATGACACTTCAGTAGCCTGACAGCATCCTTTGGATCACGCTCATGCAAGTCGAGTGTCATTTCTAGGGGTTCTGAATCCCTGCCAACAAATACAATAAAAGAAATATTGTCAAGTATCATACGAAACTTTCAGGTTAACCCCCTTGAAAAGAAGAAAAAAGAAAGTACATGAAAAATAAGCACAATTAGATCACCTAGTTTTAAGAATCATTTTGCTAGATTCTTCGTCAGCTTCACGTGCCTTATTCTTGTAAAATTGTCCCTGGGAAAGACCATAGCATACACCAGTGAAATGGCAACATTTGAGTAACACGGGTAATTATATGTTAAAAAACTGGACACATATCTGCTGTGGCTAAGGCATACATAATCATTGAGAAGAAATTATGATATTATAAATTAAATGCAGTAACCTCTTTCTCATTTCAAACACGCTTTCTAAAGTATCTGTCTAATCATAAATGCTCAAAGGAGTTTCCCTTTCCAATATAGTATTAGTAAGAAAGAACTGAATGCAATATGAGAACGCCTATCAGAAGACAAGAAAGCAGCACTAACAGAAGTGCAGAACAAAAGAACAGACATGGCAATGAACCAGAAATTCAGATGTCATGAACAAATTCTATGTTTAACATATCATCAAGCAAATTATGGCCAGGCACAATTCAATTAAAACCTTACCTGTTCAAGAAGTTTTTCAGCTTTTGTTTGGTCTCCCTTCGCAAATGCTTCAACAGCCTAAAGTGACAAGTGAACCATGAGTATATTGAGTATATGTGTATGTGTACTTTACAGTGTCCAAACCAAAGATCAGAACCGACGGGTTAACTGTATTTAACAATCAAATGTGGGACAACAGTATAATCTCCATAAGTTGGAAAAAGTAATGCAACATACAGCTTTATAGTATTCCTTCATTGTCGCCCGATATTCCTTCACAGCTTTTCGCACGCATTGGTAATCTGCTTCATCCTCAGCATCTGCCACACAATGCTCAAGCTTATAAAACATAAAACTATATTTCGAAGGAAGACAGACAGAAATATCCATATTATGTGCCAAAAGGGAAAAATAAAAGAATGGTGAACGGATTTTGCTTCTAAGAATGTATTGAGCAATTCTTCTACTTAAAAAAACCAAAACTTCCGATACTGCCACGGTGAATGCAGCATAAAAATTAAATAATCACAAGGCTCAATTCTCACCCTTAGGAAGCACAAACATGTTTAAGCATCACAACTCACAAGATACTTTAATAAATTGAAGAAAATCCATACTCTCACAAGAGATAGATTAGTAATCAATATCAATATTTCCAAGATTGAGAATTAGGTTTGCCAGGACAATAGATAGGAAGTACCATCTTCATTATCTCGTCTCCTGAAGTCCGTGTCTATCTTGTATTCCTCCATTGAATCTTCGGGAGGTTCAAACACCACATGTCCAACTCCATAGGCTGAACTTGTATTCTCACCCCTTACAAACCTCTTACGAGGCTCCTCAACATACTCGCGGTAACTAAACAAATTAGACCAGACTTCTTTCTGAATGTCATGTCTCTCTTTTTGCCGCTGATGTAGTTCCACTTCTTTAGCTGAAACTGTGTTTCCATTACTGCATGGAAAAAAGAAAATACATTACCCAAAGTATGCTCTGAAATTTGTTGAGTATGCAAGAACATAATAATGATTAAAGCAAAAGATAAACAAGAACTTCATTAATCTTTAAAAGAGAATTGGATGATGACTGAAGTAGGGGATACTGACACAAACAAAAAACCGGAGGAAAAAGAGAAAAAGTATACCCTCTGATACAATTTAAATCCTTAGACTGTTTTTCAAATCCTGGTGCTTCAGATTTTCTTTTCATATCTGCAACCTATAAAAGAACATTGATTGAATATGAGGTAAGAGGCCTGCTATAACACTTCTAGCTTAAACAGCAATCAGCACATAACCATCAGAGAAAGATATAATTTCTGCACAAAAACCATTACAATCAAGAGAATACAAAAACCAAGAGAGCACAAAAGAACAGAAAGCCAAAAAATACTTCTATTCTTTGATGATAATCAAGTGTAAGAATAAAATAACATACACAGCAATACAAAATAAGATAACATAAAATTTGAGGGGAAAAGGCAGCATAGAAATATACATTTCACAACATATTATGCGCTCCATGTAAACAATTGGTTACACAAACATTCATGTATATCACTAGACAACTGTCAAAAGAAAGGCTGGACCGTAACAAAGAGCTTTCATAACAGAAAGTAATCCATACTCCCTATAGCATATAATAGACAGCATAGAAAATAAGATAACATAAGATTTGAGGGGAAAAGGTAGCATATAAATATATATTTTGTTGAAATACCACCTTCACCAGTCGCCTAAATTGTGGCATTTGGCTTGCCTTCATTGCAGCCTCCAACGCCTTCATTATGTTGGATTTGAAGGGATGGATTTAGTCTCACATTGCTTAAAAATATGGTCTGTGTAGTGTTTATAAAGTTTGGACAACCCTCGTCAAACAAGTCGGTTTTGTAGGAATGAGTTAGACCTAATCACACTTCATAAGATGGTATAAGAGTCTATCTAGATCACTTGGTGAACTTCCCGCATCGTCCACGCTTCGGCCTCATTGAGTCCTGAGCGTGAGGGGGGGTGTTGAAATTTCCGCCTTCATTGTGGTCCGCTCCTAGTCGCCTAAATCGTGGCATTTGGCTTGCGCTCATTGCAGCCTCCAACACCTTCATCGTGTTGGATTTGAAGGGGTGGATTTAGCCTCACATTGCTTAGAGATATGGCCTGATATGGTCTGTGTAGTGTTTATAAAGCTTCCCTCAATTTACAAGGCAATTTTGTAGTGATGAGTTAGGCTCAATCACACATTCTAAGACATTTCACAACATATTACGCACTTCATGTAAACAATTGGTTACATAAACATTCATGTATATCATTAGACAACTGTAAATAGAAAGGCTGGCCCGTAACAAATAACTTTCATAACAGAAAGTAATCTCTCTTCCTCGGTGAAGATGGAATTTAATCTCAAATCCTCACACGTTATTTAAAATTATAAAGTAAAATAAGAATAAGCATATGTAATCCAAGTGTAGCTTCAATTCAAATAACAATGGCCTCCATACTCACCTTCCCAGATGCATCACGAACATCAGCTGGCCTTTTGTCCAAAGCCATCGCCGATCGATCTAGCAGGTTTTCCAAGCTCTGAATGATTTCAATTTATATATTGATTAAGTAAAGATATTTTTCAAAGCACCACAATGATGTCATGCAAGTTAGAATGTCATTAGAAATTGGACATTGGAATGTGACAAATATAAATTGTGTATATGTCAAACTAAGAAGAAAATTAGAAAAATTGAGGCAAGTCTAGGATAAAGCAGAAAAAATAAAAGTGAAAGATGATATCCTCTAAAACTTAAGCTGCTTGAACCCTGAATGAAATTTTACATATGAAAAAATGAAAACTTGTAGGTTGTGTTATGAGCACCGGACAAGAGGAAAATAAAGTAAGATACATTATCGGTGGAAGCGTAAAATGCTTGTGTACCTTTTTCATGTCATACCCGCAAGTACCTGCATGTTTGCAATAAATTCAGGCAGCTGTTAATACAAATAAAAGATATAATGTCACAATGATATAGTTCAGCTAATGAATTACTTGTCTCCAACTCAATCATGAAATTTATAATTAATAAATACTAACTCGTATTAGTTTTCGGTAGATTGAATCATCGATTTGATAACTAGTAAGCGCAGATTAATGCAAAGTAAAACCAAATTCATTTCCACAATGAAATAATGGCACTTAATATAAAATCGAAGGTCAAATTGGTATAGTTAAGTGCAAGCAGGGAGCATTCGAGATTCACATTAGACCAACCCACATACAATTTTACTTTCAAGGCATTAGTTAATAATCGAAAGTGTTAAGATATTAAAAACAACAGCATAAAGTTAGAGTACTCTGTACCTAGAACTTCGCGAATGACATTCCTTTCCAGCTTAAAACCATCTCCAAGCATTTTAAACAAAAACTCCTCCATGTCCTCTTGAAGCTGATTCTTTGAAGAATCAGCTTTTGGCGCGCTCTTTTCACGCCAGATTCCAGTCATTGGCATCGTCCTCGCATCCAACTTTGGCGGTTTAGTCATACCGTTATACCCATTACCAGATACCGTGGGTTTAACATAACTTTTACCAATAACGCTCGAAACAGTGCCCGCTGAAACAGGGCGAACCTTCGGCTTAAAGCCTTTCCTTCCTCGAAATGAATTTTCAGAGGAAAGTCCATCAGATGATTCTGACAACTCTTCCACTTTCGCATCCGAGTTAGACGAGTGATTCCCAGAAGTCGAGGAACCCCCCTTCATATCATACAAAATTTCCCCCGCCAAATCTATATTCCGATTCGCCTTGCAATACGCATACGCTATATTGTCAAGAGTACACGAAGCTCCAAAGACATCATACAAGTGTTTCAACGCCTCGTCTTCGTCGTACACGACAGCATTCTGGCCAGCGACTTCCATCTTAATTACACTCGAACCACTGCCAAATAAACCGATATAAAGTTATAAAAGAATCAATCGATTTTTCAAAATTATACTCAATAAGGGTTTATCCTTGAATAATGCATAAAAAGGGAATGAAGGAAATGCAGTTCCCTAGCTTGAAATAGGGTTTATTTGGATAAATCTTCAAATCCAATATTGTTATAAAACCCTCAAAATTAATTTTCTCATTCCCTATAAAAGCACTTCCCAAAGTAAGTTGATAATTTTTCTCTCTTTTCCAAACAAAGCCTAAAAAAAATGGATATCTAAATCATCAAAATCAGAAAACTAAACCGTTAAATAACGCAAGAAACTGTTCGAAACAAAGCGAATAAGAAAAACCGAAAACCAAGAACGAAACGCATTTCAATCAAACGATAATCAAATAGCAAAAATGAAATCTAGACGGAAAAAAAATCGAAATGCGTTTCCACCGTAAATGTGAATTGCAAGAATCATAGATTGAATGAATAGCGAAGAAAACGAGTGTTGAAATTCAACAAACCCATTGATTCACTACAAAATGAACGAAATGCAACACTGGTAGAATTGAACTGAAGAGAAGAGAAAGAACATTAATTAAACTAATTAATAAACTAGTTAGTAATTAATTAATTGATTAGTTAATTAATTAATTAATTACCTGAGTTGAGTTATGTTGTGTGTGATTAGGGAGTGAGAGTAGAAAGTTACCAACAATTGCTTTCAGTTTTGTTTTGAATGATATGTTATATAGGCAACTGAAAGTGAGAATTGAATGATCAATTTCGATATAAAAAAATAATTCAAAAGCTACGGATTAGATTCTTATTAAAGAAGCAGCTTCTTTTGTAAGTTTCTTTTTTTTTTTTGATTAAGTATTTGTTTGTAATAAAATTAATCAAAACTAAAGCAATATAATCCAATTCTATTTATGACGAGTAATGGTGGAAATAAGTCACATGATAACAAGGCTCTACGAGTCTACTGAGATTTAGGCCCGGCCAAACTTTTTTTTAAATATAAAAGGTTTAAATATTTTTATAAATATATTTAATTTAAAATGTTAGGTATCAGATTATGAGTTTTTTTTTTTTAATTTTATAGACCGATCTATTTTTTATTATTATTATGTTATTTTTTTGTATTTTAAATTAAAATACATAAATAAAAAATGATTATTTTGAAGAATTTATAAAAATAAGATAAAAATACCTTATAAACAATCTTATAAGTTATTTTTGTAAGTTTAAATAAATAATCTCACAAAATTTATGTTAATAGATAAGTTAAAATAAGTCAATGTAAACAAACTTTTAATCTCATTGATTTTTTGACTTGTTAGTTTATTTAAAATAACATACTTTTATGTAGGCTAATAGACTAATCAAACTTTAAAAATAGACTAATCAAACTTAAAAATAAATTTATAACAAATTACAGATTAGACTCATGCTTTATATTTTTTGACAAGTCAGACTTAGGTTCAGACTTTAGACAGGTCAAACTTAGACTTGACAAAACCTACCTTGATCAAGCCTATATTCACTCCTAATAAAGAGTACATTTATTTATATGCACTAATGTACACTGTTTTTCTTTAATTTATTAAAGTTAATCCTATTCTCTTTGAATTAATGTTTAATGTTAAAGTTATTAAAGTTAATTTTATTCTCTTTTAATAATGTTTGAATTAAAGTGAAGAAAATCACAATAATTTATAAGAGTTCGGAGGAGTTTAAAGGATTAAAGATTTTAATTATTTGTTGCATGTTATATGTTACTCCTTCTATTTAAAATTATAAGACATTTTAAATATTTCATACGAATTAAGAAATATTATTAATATTGTATGAGAAAGAAAAATTATACGATTTTACAATATTGTATTTTATTTATTACAAATGAAAAAGAAATTTAAAGAATTAAAAAATAATTATTTCCTCCCTGTTAAAATAAATGTCCTCTTTGAAATTTTTACATTTTTTAAGATAATCATTAATTATGTTGATTTCAATAATAAAATAAGAATTATTTAATAAAATAATTTTATTAATTAAAATACAATAAATAAGAGTAAATTAGTGGAAAAAATAATGAATTGACAAATAATTTAAGATAAATAAAAATAAAAAAGAGAACAACTATGGTGAGACAGAGTATAGTAATAAATGATAGATGATATAGTGGAAAAAATATCATTTAATGTTATATTAAAAATATAAAATAATTTATAATTTATGACAATCTTTTTTAATAAAATAATTTATAATTTGAGAGATTGGGAGTAAATGTTAATCAAGATAGTTTGGTATAAAGTCTTATCTCATAAATATGGTTCAAAACCCAAATTTATCAGTCTTTTGTTGTACGATGATCTTTAGGTGGTGGAAAATTTTAAACCTTGTCAAAGAAGGCTTTATCACTGTTAAAGAATATTGGTTTGATGATATTCTTAGGAAAGTGATTCATAATGGATATAATACTAACTCTGGCATTGATTTAATAGGCTTTCAAGGCTATCTCTTAATAAAAATGTGTATATGATAGAGACCTTGAAATCAAGGTCCGGAATTGAAAGTTTTTTTAAAAGATAAAATATAATAATAAGAAAAACAAAACATAAGGAGTGTTATTAGTTACAAAACAATACATTCATATTGTCGGTGGACATTAACATCACCAAAGTTGTTTCAATCCAAAATACATTACAGAAAATCATGATAACAGGTTAAATGGTCCGGCGAGAAAACGATCCAAACACAATTAAACCTAAGCATCCAGAAACAGATGCCTCAAGCATGACGCCAAACTCGAACTCTGCACCATAAACAACAAACCTAACAGCATCACAGCTTCGAACTAAACCTAACGGTAGAGAATCCATTGCTTCGCTTGTTTAAATTTATCCTATCAAGTGAAGCAAGGGATTCTCTACTGGAAAAATTGTATTGTGGTACCCCTGAAACTTCCATTGTTCAATTCATTCTATAAGAATTCCACTCCTCTTTACTAGGAGGTCATTTCAGCATTATTGCTCTTACTAAAGCACGAATTACTTCACACTTTTGGTGGCCATCTATGTCTAAGGATATTCGATTATTTGTGTTGCATAGTTTGGTTTAGTTTCTTAGAAAAGTAAGCAATAAGATGCTTATCTTGGCTAAGAATAACACCTATACTAGTCCCTGACGCGTCAGTTTCAAGTACAAATGGCTTACAAAAATCTGGTAAGGCTAATACCGGTGTAACAATGATGGCATGCTTCAGAGCATAGAGTGGCATAATTGCAAATAAAACGTCGGTAATAACCAGAGAGTCCCAAAAATCCTCGAAGTTGTTTGAGGTTTTGTGGAGGAGGCCAATCAAGAACCGCATAAACTTTGGATTTGTCCATAGACACACCCTGATGTAAGATGGTGTGACCAAGATAATCCACAGTTGTGAAGCCAAAATAACACTTGGATAATTTGGCAAAAAGAGAATGGTGTCGCATCAGTGTTAACACTTCAGTCAAATGAGTCACATGTGCAGACCAGGAAGGGCTATATACGAGAATATCGTCCAAAAAAACCAATACTGACCGACAGAGTTGTGCTTGGAAAACGTTATTCATTAAGGTCTGAAACGAAGTCGGTGCATTTGACAGGCCAAAAAGCATCACAAGCCATTCATAAAGCCCTTGGTGTGTCTGAAATGCGGTTTTATGACGATCTTCAGGCTTGACCAAGATTTGATGGTAACCGGATCTAAGGTCAAGCTTGGAAAAATATTGAGCTCCACATAATTCATCCAATAACTCATCTACAGTCGGAATGGAAAAACTACCCTTGACTGTGGCAGAGTTCAATGCATGATAATCAGTATAGAAACGTCGGGAGCCATCCTTTTTCTTGACTAATAGCACTGATGAAGAGAATGGACTATTTCTTGGTTGGATAATTCCCTATTTCAACATTTCAGCAACCATGGATTCAATCTAAGCCTTCTGACTGGGAGGGTAGCGATAGGGCTTAACTTTCACTAGATTACTCCCATCTGTCAAGGGTATGGCGTGGTCCTAAAACCGGGTCGGTGGTAATCCCTGAGGTGCTTCAAAAATATCAGAGAAAGTGTTAATGACAATAGCTAACTCTGGATGTAATTCAACTGAAGACATGTGTTCATTAGGCTCTATTTTCTGAAATTATAGGGTAAAGGAAACTTCAATAGCATATGTATTATGAAGTCTTCTGATGTGATGAAATTGAGCATGTCTTGGACTAGTAGGTTTATCACCATAAAGGGTGATAAAAGTGTCTTTAACGTAGAATTTAATGGACAAAGCATTGCAGTCTGCTATATGTGGTCCTAGTGTTTTCAACCATGGTGCTCCCAACACCAAATCTGCATCAGTGATAAGTAATAGGTAGACAGGTAGGTGAAGTGTATTACCTTGAATAGCAACTGGCAAGTCAGCAATGTACCCCATAGTGGTCAAAGAATTTCCATTTCCCACAAGAACGGAAAACTGAGCAGTGGATTGTATTGGTATCTGCAGGCAATTAGCTATACGTGGTTGCAGAAAATTGTCTAAGCTCCCACTATCCAATAACACAGTGATATCCACACCTTGAATTTTTATTGTTATTGAATAAAAAGAAATAAAAAAATTAATTAAGACCATCAATATAATTATATAATAATCTGAAAAATATTTGCTACAAACATATAACTACATATTAATCAAAATTAGTAATTTTATTATAAAATATTTTTTTTTCTTATGTTAAATGATTTTGAATATTATATAGTTATATTAGTTTGTTAAATTATATAATTATATATTTGGACGACTCAAGTGAAAAATCATTAATATAATTATATAATAATCAACAAATTAATATAGTTTCCTTAATATAAGTAAAAAAAAAATTATAGTTATATTAATATATATTTTTTAATATGTAGTTATATTAATTGATGAATTTGTTTTTTGAATACTGATGTTACTTGAT